CACTTTCCCTCCATTCGAGGGTCCCTCTAGGCTCTGTATAGGATGATCCTTTGTCCCAGTTTTAGCATTATAAGGTCAACGTCCAAGGAATTCCTCAGTCACAGGCAAGCAGGATGATGGGTTACCTTAGGTCTGAGGTATAAGATATTCACACTAACCCGGATAAAAAACAGCTACAAACGGCTCACATCCTTTCAGCTCTGGTTTTGCTACCAATAAATTTGCCACAAACTGAAGGGAAAAAACCCTTGGTTTTCTAAGTTTTTTGAATTTTGAAATTGTGGATGAGGGGTTGTGAACCTGCCAGCAAATATGCACATATTCTTTTCACCCACCCAAATGGACTCGCTTTTTTTTTTTTTTTTTGCTGTTTTATCTTAGCGCTGTCCCACACCAGTGCAGAAAATACCTCCCGTTCCTTTCTACTGCTGCATAATACTCCGTCACATGGATGAACATTTAAGCTGTTTCTGTCCAGTCTTTTGCTGTCATAAACACACATAGTCTTAGGTGTAGCTAACTACATGGAGGGGGCTGGGAGCAGAGGAGGAGTCAGATCTTCATTCCTACTGCCTACTTGTGACTGCAGGGTTAAGCCCAAGCCTGCTCAGAAGTTGAGGGAGAAACAAAACCTGCTGAGGTCTCCCAGGTCTCTTGTACCTGTCCAACCACATATATCGTGGAAGGTCATTCACATTAAGCATGGTTTTCCAAGCAAGAAAACAACTTATATTCAGACCTACTGTCAGGGTTCTCCAAAGAAGCAGAACCAATCGCTCATTCTTTCTCTCTGTCTTTCTATATATATATAAAGAAAGAGAGCTCACAGTCACAGAAGAGATAAAGCTGGGGTACATAACACAATCCCAGAGAGTATGAAGTGTCTTGTGTGGGATGAATTGGGAGTTCTGAGCACCACCTGAAAAAGTCCCCTCAAATATAGTCCAGAAGGGGCTTCCCTGGTGGCTTAGCAGTAAAGAATCGCCTGCCAATGCTGTGAACATGGGTTCCATCCCTGGTCCTGGAAGATCCCACATGCTTTAGGAAAACTGAGCCTGTTCTCCACAACTACTGAGCCTGCATTCTAGAGCCCACGAGCTGCAACTACTGAAGGCCACACACCTGTAGCCCACGCTCCACAACAAGAGAGACCACAGAAGTGAGAAGACGACGAACCACAACAGAGAGTAGCCCCCACACTCTGCAACTGGAGATGGGCCACGCATAGCAGCAAAGACCCAGTGAGGCCATAAGTAAATAAATAAATCATATATGTTATATAGGTTTATATATATATAGTTATCTATATATGTATAATCCGGAAGGCCAGAGAGACGCTGGGAGTTCCTGCCAAACATTGAGATAAGCAGGCTTCCCCCTCTGGTCAATTTCACTTGTTTTTAAATAAAAACCCAAATCTTCAATAAAATGGGTCAGCACAGCAGTATTAATAAAGCCTAAATGTAAGAACACAAGCTCTTAATAAAGAATTCAGGTACATTAGGGCTCCTTTCTCCCTGACCTGTGGCCCTTCATCAATTTCATCCTGGTTAAGTCTCCAAATTTAAAACATTTCCCAACTAGACTTGTAATCGTGTTTCTAAACTGCCAACCACCATGGGATCTCAGAGGCTTCTTGTTCCACAGATTCAAAAGGCCCTCCAGCTTCTCCTGTCTGCCAAGGGCTTTGCTCCACCCCAGGATGGAGTCATTTTTCTTGAGACTAAAACAGTACAAGACTACATTCATTCATTTATTCATGATATTATCAGCCCAAATGATGATGTGTAGAGGATATGGCTGAAAAAGGGGACACAAAATACTGTGAACCAATAACAAAGGAAAAGAGGCTTACATGAGTGAAAATGCTACCCAAGTAAGTCTCTGTGACCAGACCCAGTTAAAGAAAGGGGCTGGATTTCAGCAGATGGGAACTTAAAAGTCTGAATAAGGAACCCCCTTCCTAAAACCAAGGGAGGATCCAGGTGGGGCTTAAGTTTATGCAATGATAGAAGTCTTTCATAATTAAAAAAAAAGTCACAGCTATAAATATAGTACTGCCAGGGCCCTTCCCATGCAAATAAAAGTTGTGGAAACCTGCCTTCATTAGCTTACCATAAACCCACATTCTGTGTGGCTAAACAAGGATCAGGGAGGAGATACTGTATTGGCAAGGAGTGGCACCTGGGGCCATAGTTTAAAACGTAAAGGACCAGAATGACCTGGGCTGGAGGAGAATGTGGGAGAGGCAAGAGAGAATGGATAGGGCCATTCTGCTGTGCCCAGAGCAACTTGTCTCATGCGCCCTGAACCCCTCCACCTGCTGGCTCTACACAGGGTGCTCTAATGGATGGCGCCCTAATCCCTGCCTCCCCCAATAGTAATAATATGATAATAATAGTAATAGTAATAATTAGTATTACAGAGGCTCACACTTACTGAGCACTTTCTATGGGCCATGTGCTATCCTCAGTACGGTGTCCATAGTCACTTGGTGAGTTTTCGTAACAACTCTATGAATGAGACACCACTCTTTTCATCCCCATTTTAAAGATTGGGAAACTGAAGTAGAGACAGGGATTAACTCACTTGCTCAAGACAGACAGGGACAGAACAAGGATTTGAACCCAGACAGGCTGGCTCCAGAGGTAAAGCTCTTAACCACTAATAACAATAACAGCTAACACTTAGGTCCTGATTACCCTGTGTCAGCTGTTCTTCTAAGTGATCACATGTATCAGCTCAACTAATCCTTACAGGTACTATTATTATCCCCATTTTACAGATGAGGCAACCGAAACACAGAAAGGTCAAGCTGTTTGCCCAGGTCACACAGCGCGAAGCTGCATAAGAGGGACTTGAACCCAGGCAGTCAGGTTCCAGTGACTACATTCTTGTGCCCTGAACTGCACCCTTGTGCCATGACTGGATTTAAGGGTAATCTGAGGGCAGTGGCCATGGCTTACATTTCTCTGCATCAAGTGTGGTGCAACACTGTAGAATCTAATAAACACTCAATAAATAGTCAATTTTTCTATAAAATAACCCTTCCTGATATATAAAAAAATCATATTTCAAGTCTATTGTAGAAAGTCTGAAAAATACAGAAAGACTCCAAGAAGAAATGCAAGTCATCCTCATGCAACAGAGACAACCACAGTTCACATTTTGGTGTCTTTCCAGCCAGTGTTACAAAATAGGGATCCCACTCTATGCCCTGTTTTGTAACCTCCTTTTTTCTCACTTATCAATACATCACAATCATTTTCCCACGTCTTTACATTTTCTTCTGCAGCTTCCACAGAGCAATCATTTGTGAATGCTCAAGTGACTTGCTCAGGGTGCTGCCCGCAATGAACCGGAATGTCACCCACAAACAGCCCCTTCCCCAGGGGGCTCCTCGTAAACAGTCCTCTCCCATCAACCTCTCTATCCCCTACATATGCCCACCTTATACACCCGACCCCCTCCTACTTCCTGGCATCTCTAGAAATCCCTTTGCCTTCCTTCTTAGACTCAGGGTCTCCTCCTCAGTTCCTGCCAAGGGTGTGTCTCCATTCAACACCCCTTACTTCTGTTTTCCTATTTTCTCCTCTCCAAGTCACCATCACCCTTCTCATACCCTCCGTCAGCCACAGTCAAGCTTTTGCTATCCTGTGCCCCATTCCCACAGAACTTGCTAGAGACGATCCAGTTCCATCCCAAGCAGGCATTAGGCAATGTCTGTTGCAACGTACCTAGTGACACGGGAGACGATGCCAGTGAAGATGCTAGAGGCTGCAGCGTGGGAGTCCCTCCCAGGCATTCTAAGCAGGAGTCATCAAGATACAATGCCTTTACCTAAAAGGGGGGGGGGGGGTCTCTCTTGGTGTGTGATTTCCAGCCCCCAGACCAGGGCTGTGAAAGATATTTTGAGACAAGGATCTCTTTTGATGTACTTTAAACCCCAACAGGGAGGCAGAGGCCTAATCCACCCTGAGGGTGGGGCGGCCTGGGCACTTTGCCCTAATAGGATGGAACGAAAGACTTTTGAAAGTGGTGGCTCAAGACAGGTGGCTTCTTGATTCTAGCTGCTGTGTCTTAGTCAGGATGGGGGTGGGGGTGGGGGGGACTGTGCAGACAGCTGGCAGGAGCCCGATGCCTGAGTGGGATGACCAGGAGGACAGGACTTCTTTCAAACTTGCTCTGCCTGACCTGTGCTGCGTGACCACAAACAGGTGCCTGTGCTTTTTGGCATCTTGGCATAACAGCACCTACTTTACCTACCTCACAGTTTTGTGTAAGGAGCAAAGGAGGTAAGCTCAGTGAAAAGGATTTTGCCAAGGGTAAAACCCCCAAGTTAGGTGTGTTTAGGACTCTCTGCCTCTTTCCTTTTTTTGGAAGGTGCTGATAACAACTTTGTTTTTAGGGCATTTCCTCCTTAGCTGCATTCCTTTTGTAGACAAGGGGCAGTAGTGGCTGCAAACAAGAGTCGCTCCCGAGCCTCTTTAGATCTGGGCCACTGCGGCCCCTTATCTCTTTGACCCCGAAGCAGCCTGATTTTATCACTGGTACTAATTGAAGGTCCAAGCCTGATTCATTTGAACAGTGTGTGGGGTGACTACCATCACGGATTCCCCGCTCCCCTCCCTCCCCCCCCCCCACTTGAGGCATTTCCTGGGACTTAGGACTTTCTGTGCTAAAATCAGACCAATCCCAAGCACAGGGAGATTGGCTGGGCACACCACATGTGTACCGGGGGTTGGGCGGGTCTGGTGCGAAGTGTACACCTGTCCAGCCTGCTGAAGCGTGGATACGTGTGATTATTCACGTTTGTGCACAAACATGTAGCGTGGATCTGTTGGTACCTTGGGGTTTTGTGTGTTGAGTATATGTTGCTGAGTGTGTAATTATGTGATGTGTGCGTGTCTGTAAGATGCGTGAATTATGCGCAGGGCTTCTATAGTATGTTACATTTAACTTGGTGTGGGTAATATAAGCACGTGTGTGACGAAAAGCGGTTGAAGCGGTTGCGCGCGCCGGTGGCGGAGTAGTCTCTTTCCTCGCCTGCTGGGGGCTGGGCCTTGAAAGCCGCGTGGAGTTTGTCTTGTCCCACTCGCCGGCTCCTGCCGAGCGCCGTGCCCCGCACGTCTATTTTCTTCTTTAATCGTCACGGCCAGCCTCTGAGGGACCTTCTAATACCCACCGCACAGGTGAGTTACCTCAGGCTCCAAGGAGCCATCCCGGCTCAGGCCCCTGACTCCCCAACCTGCCGCGAGAGAATTTATGACGAGAAAAAGGGCCACCGGATAATGAAACTCCCGGAATAGCGTGAATTTACCCCAAAACCTGTCGAAGGATACCAGAAATCTCTCCTCAGACCTTTCTGAATTTCTCGCACTTGCTGGAAAAGGAGGGAATCATGGGTTAGTGCAATGAATACGGAAGTTGGAAGAAGAGGTATTAGATAAGCTTGTATGGTATAATATGATACTTCCCAGAGGGTGTGCAATTAAATAATGAAGAAGATAATTGTCCAAAGTTATATTTAATACCCGTTGTGGAGTGAAGGGTTAACATCAGTTTTTAAGCTCCACGTGGTCATTCCTCAGACGTGCTTCCGGTGGCGTCTTCCTCCTCTCCCTCCTCCAATCCTTCTTCACTCCTTACTCCTCTTTCTTCTGCCATATTTTCCTGTGTATTTGATCTTTTAGACTGAATCATATGAAATTACCTTTTATGTAGATCAAAGCTAGTTAAATGTTGGCAATTTCATTTGTTCAACCTAATGTATTTTGAGAAAAGCTTTTTTTTCTTTTTGGGGCGGCTGGGGGGAGGTGTGTGTCGTGCAGGATCTTAGTTCCCAGATTAGAGATCAAACCCACACTGCCTGCAGTGGAAGCAGGGTATCCTAACCACTGGACAACCAAGAAATTCTTGGAAAGCTCTTTTATATTTTGTAAAATGCAGGGGAATTATTTACGTTTGACTTGAGTTTCAGAAACCCTGTGATTTTCAGATTGGAGGAACTTATACTTACCTGTTATGGCTAGAGGAGTGACATATGATGTGCTGGAGCTGGCTCTCCAGGTGATTGTTAAGTATTCAAGGATTTTGCAAGAGAGTTGTTAAACCATTGGTAGCTTGAAATTGGCCATGGAGGGAATATTTATACCATGGAAACTGGCTTCCCTCCTTGTCCTCCTGGGATCCAGTTTAGCAGAACGCTATTGGTTGGTTGATATATCTTAGGCCAGGTGAAATCAGTTCAGAACCACATAGATCCCCAAACAGAAACTGAGATTGAAGAAAGCAACCAACAAGTTCAGTGGTCGTAGGAGAAAACATTGAAAACTTGGGGATGTGCTGTCACAGTTCATAATAGTTTAGTTAGTGTTAAGCATTTATCAGCACTATTTGAAGTACTTTATATGTGTTAACTCATTTGATCGCCACAGCAACCTTATGACATACACATCATTGCTATCCCTGTTTTACAGATGGAGAAACTGAGGCTTAGAGAGGCTGAGTAACTTGGCTGAGGTGATACAGATAGTAAGTGGCAGAGTTTGGCTTTGACCTCAAGCTATCTTAACTCAAGAAAACATGCTTTTAAAAAAAAGAAAAGAAAACATGCTTTTAACTACACTGTCTGTATTATATACGTTAGGTTATGCTGCAGTAATAACCCCCAGATTTCAGTGTTTTACAATAAAGATGGTTTATACTTGCTCACATTTTTACATGTGCCTATTTGTCAGATGTGATTCTGCTTCACACATCTTACTCTGGAACCCAGGCTGAAGGAGCAGCTCCTATCTTGGCCCCAGAGGAAAAAAAAACAATTCTAGCACCATGCAGTGATTCTTAGGATTCAAGTAATATGTGGCATACTTCTCGTCACATTTTATTGGTCAAAGCATGTCACGTGGCCAAGCTTGACTCAGGAGGGCTAAGAAATAGAATCCCCCTCTCCCTAAGCACTGCAAATCACATGGCAGCCTTCTGGGTAGTGAATAACTGGGAACTGTTTTAGGTTAGGTTCCCAGAAGCAGACCCTGAGTCAAGGATTAGAGTGCTCTATTAAGGAAGTGTTCCTAGGAGAATCCAGAAAAGGAGTGGAGGAGCAGGACAGGGAAGGAGGCAAAGCTAAGTAAGGGTATAATTTCAGGCCAAGTCCTGGGCTGAGCCTTCTCCAAAGGGGGTTCTGGGTATAAATTATACCTCAGAGTTTATCCCAACTCAAGGCAGGAGAGCTGGACTTTCATATTTCCACAGCTGTGAGTCATCGGTTAAGGACTGCTCTAAGAGCACTTTTTGCTTTCTGAATATGGATGAAGCAGTTCCAGTAGCCCTGGACCAGTCCTTCGGGTAGAATCACGGGTGCATGGCTCTTAGAAACAAAGTCACACAGAAGTCAGGAGAGGGAACAGAACCTGAAAATAAATTTGAGGAAATGTGGACAGAGCACCAATAATTGACACTAAAGGAATAATAATGCTATCTACCACATTACTTCTATTTTATACTGTTTTATTTTTATATCAAAGGTATGACACTTTTTTCTCCTGTAGTTAGTGGCATGTCTTTGATGTCAGAGGGAGCACAGTTTGCTCCTCTTGAAACAAAACATAATAGGGAATCATTGTAGGTTTTTCAATAATCCTGTGTAGTATTTACTGAGCATGTGTGTCTAACACTGAAATTTCTCCAGAGTGAAGAAATCTGTGTATAATAGTATGGTGCAGTTCTGTTAGTAACCCAGAGTTAGTGCAGTCTCCATAGGTTAAGGTTACAGTCCCTAATAAGACTGCCCTGTTCCACCTATACCAGCTGCAGGTTCAAGGGTTCCCAGGCCCTACTTGCTTCTGACCTACAAATTCAGGGGTTCCCATGACCTTTTCAGGTTTCTTAATTTGCTAAGATGATTTATAAAACTTGGGAAAGTGCTGGGCTTTATGATTAGTTTTGTTACAAAGGATACAAGTCAAAATCAGCCACAAATAAAGAGACATACAGGAGGAGGTCTGGGAGAGTCCTAAACCCCCTCCCTTCCCTTCCAGGCCCCCTCCCTGAGGAATCTGGATGTGTCACCTTCACAGGACACTGATACATTCATCAGCCAGAAGACTTAACCAAACTTTTGAGTGTCTAGAGTTTTATTGGGATTTCATTATATGTGCATGATTGACTGAACTTAATCTCCAGCCACCCTCTTCTTCCTGGAGGAAGTTGGGCTAATATCAACTGACTCAAATCCCCAGTCCTTTAATCACATTATTATTGGTCTTTCTGGTGTAACCAGCCCCCATCCTGAGTAACTCATTAACATAAATTCAGGTGTGATCTGAGAGCCCCACCATGGTTAACAGAGACACCCTCTCTCTCAGGAAAATCAGAAAGGGTTCAGAAGCTCCCTCCCCAGAACCTAGGACAAAGACCAGATAAATTCTTTATTATGCAGCATGTATTATCAGATTGGAGAACAATATTTAACTGAGCAGAATTTTTGTAATTCCACAGGTAAACATAAATGTAAAAGCAAATACAGTACACCAAAGACAAAAAATCCTATCCTAAATGCAACCAGGGAAGTAAAACAGATGACCTAAAAAGGAACTGTAGAGTAACAGCAGACTTATCTTGCACAGCAGTAAAGGCTAGGAGATAATGGAGTGTCTCCAAGAGAATTATAAGGTAGATTGCTCTTATTGAAAGATAAAGCATAAAATAACTATAGGATACTGTAGTGATATTTATCTGACATCCCAGAAGAAAGTTAATCTGTTACTGAAGTTATCCACTTAAAAACCAAAACATTTAAATGATTTCTGATATAAATCATTCCAAAGTATATCACCCCATCCCTCTCCCTTCTTAACTAAGTTCAGCATTAGTGTGCTTTTAGGTAATGAGACTCCCAGGGGTTACTGAGGTCTTCTAAGCTGTTTGCACCAATATTAAATGTTTCCACGTGCTGTATTTTATACTTCTTTCTGCTTATTATAATCCTGTCTCACTGCAGCAGCAGTTTTATTGAAGCTCTTAATCTGTTGCTGATTTAATGTGCATTTGTCTGAATATGGGTCACAGGCTTTCTCCATCCTCCTAATATGTATAGCTCATTAGCTATATCTGACAGATTTTATTTTCTGAAAATGAGCACCATGGTACAGTACATCCAGCACATTCTTCTCACTATGTAATGTTGACGTCATGTAGGCTTTCCCTTCTTGAATCTGAGTGTGCCCATGGTGCTATGTAACTTCCAAGGTTATAAAAAGATGATATAGCTTCCACCTCTCGGAGTGCTTGTTCTTGGAACCTAATCACTATGCTACAAGGACAGGGAGAAATGACAGGGAAAGCCCCCGTGTAGGTGTCTGATAGAACCCCAGCTGAGGCTCCATTCAGCAGCCAGCACTAATCTCCAACCTTGTGGATAAATGAGTGAGTGAGCAAGTGAGCTTTCAGGTGAGTCCAGCCCTAGCCTTCAAGCCACCCTAGTTGAGACCAGGTGGAGCAGAAACAAGCTGTCCCTGCCAATCCTGCAAATAATCCAAATTATGAATTTAATAAGCCAAAGAGTGATGATTTTTTCTTTTTTTTTTCTTTCTTTTTTAAGAGTGATGGTTTTAAGCTCTAAGTTTGGGATGGTATCATTCGCAGCAGTATATAACTGGAAAATTATGTGGCTACTTTTACTCCCTGCTTAAAAGTTGTTCCCATGTGGCTTGGTTGGAGCCACTTGGGAGCTCTTAACACAGAGGTGTCCTTTGCCAATTTTGAGGAAGTTCAAACCTTGTAAATTATTTTAAGTTTGTTCCTGCTCTAAACAAAACTTCTTTGGTTTCAAGGAAGGAAAAAAGAATCCATTCAGTTTACTCCAGGAAAGGGGGATTTAATGAAGGGACACAGGGGCTTATAGGAACCCAAGAACAGAAACTGCTATACAGCATGGAAACTGCAGCTGTTTTTACATATGTAAAATATGTGTATACATAATATATAAACAAATATAGATTTTATATATACAGACATATGATATATGTTTGTAACTTCTACCACTCTCTGCACATATACTATATTCTTTTCTCATTATATATTCTCATTTCAGAAGTGGTTCATCATAACCTTTCCCCACTTCATAGTCCCCTTTCTAATCTCAGTCTTCATAATTCAAGTGCTGTTACTGATTCAGTGCCCAGTTTTCATTTCTTAAAAAAATATCTGATTAAAACAGCTCCTCTTTGCTAAGTAAGGTCCCACAAAGGACAAGCATCTGGATTAATTACACCTGAACTAGCTTTGGTCAGGTGTTCATCTCAGGGAAGACAGCTGCAGTTTTGAGGTAAGGAGTCCCCCAGAAAGCGTGGGTAGGCATGTAGTGACTGACCTCTCTAGAGTAGCTCCTCGTTAAGGCTGTTAACACCCGGCCAGAAAATGAAATCTGAGATGGATATAAGCATGGGCAGATGAGAGTAGCACATAATCAGGAACTGGCAGCCCAGAGGAGGATCAGGAATGAGGGAAGATGAAGAAGAATTATGTCTGGCAGCAGATGGTGAGACTTGCAGGCCCTGATAACATCTGCAGGTGTCATTTCACCCTAGATGGGTCCATGGTGTCCTACACAGAGACCCCAGAGTACAACAGACTCAGTTCAAATTCTAGGTCAACTAATATAAAAGCTGTGAGACCTCAGGCAAATTAACATCTTTGAGCCTTGATTTCTTCATCTGTAAAGTGAGAATAATAGCACCGCCTTGCAGGGCAAGGATGGGAATTACTTAACTTGGGCCTCATCGCAGCCACTCACTAAGTGTGAACTCCCTTTCTTCCTCCACTTGGAAGTCAGAGTTCCCCTTCCAGGTTGTGAAATGTGCTGGGACAAAGATCCTGTGGCTAGAGTTACTAGAGTTACTCTAGTTACACTGCAGTTACTCCCAACCTCAAAGGAGTTCCCTGCCTCAGGGCTTTACACCTTGCAAAGGTGAAACAAGCCTTTATGGGTCCAAAGCTACCCTGATGGGGCCACCAACGACACCTTTTTCTAAAAATCACCAGATTCCTGGAAATCTAAAGAACAGAAAGACTGTAGCTGGTTTGGAGACATAACCAATAGATGTGAACATTAGAAATCAGTGAATAGAAAATGCACGGCGCAATAGCACTGAAGCTCTTGGATAGGCCCCTCTCATTTTAAGAACATAGAGAAATTATGAAACTATCAGGCCGATCTCAGTTCCCTGAAGACTCTCACTCTCCTCAGGTGGTTCAACACTGTACAATGGCAATTACTGAACTATGTGTGTTGCACGTCCAATGCATGCACAGAGGCATGGAGCCTGAGGGGAGGGGTTCTGGGTCAGGAATTCCAGCTCTGGGGTCCATTCCCAGCCTTGCTGCTGCCTAGCACTGTGTCCTTGGGCAAGTCACTTTCCCTGTCTCATCCTGAATCTCCACACATGTAAAATAGGATGATTGGACCAGTTTCCAAGAGGCCTCAAACTCAAGTAGGAAAGGAGTATCTTAGTGATTAAAAAGAACCCTCA